TCCAAACAACTTTGATTATTAGAAAGTTTATCTTCAAGTTCCTTTATTTTATTTCTCTCTTCTTTTAGAGAAGAAATTTGCTCATTATTTTTAGTGCATTGCTTGGTAATGATAAAATTTAGATTACTTACCTCATTCTCAGTGGATGGAGAACTGATATCTTCCTCAGAGCAATCACTATCACTATCAGCACTTTTCACACGAGCCATCAGTGCCATGTTCTTAGGCTCACTATCATCAGAATCTTCCAGCCAATGATCATGTTCAACCATTAAAATAACTCCTTATTCCTTCTGCTTAGCAAGTTGTGCCTTCTGGATGTAGTAGTGTAAGCCTTCCTTCTTTGCAGATTTGCACTCTTTGGCAAAGTGACCAGACTTTCCACATTTGAAGCACTTCAGATGATATCCGCTGACAGCTTTATTATAAGGTTCGCTGGCTTTGTCAGAATAATTGAATGAAGAAGTTATTTGCTTATTGGATTAAGGTTTGAGTGATCGTATAAAGCGCAGATTGACCTCCATGCTGGTTTTGCAAATATTAATCTTCCTCATCACATTTAGGATCATAAGGTAACGCTGGTAGGTATCCTCCAATTCTTCATCAGCTCGAGCAGAAAAAGAATCACAAGCAATGAGAGTGTGAGCTCATTTGGTCTTTATACCAACATCAGTTCCTTGCATAATTTGGTGAATCTCATCCCACATATCTTTAGCCGTAGTGAGGTTGTCAATTTGCATAAAGAGTTCATTGGGGATAAATTGAAGCAGATAAGTAGCAGCAACGATATCAGCTTTAGCACTGAGCTTTTCAGGTTCAGTATACTCGTCTTCATTCTTGAGTGTTCTACTTGGAGGTGTAGGAGGATTATTATATTGGTAACATCAGCATCGACTTACACCCAATATTCAATTGGTCCTTCATTAAGAGATTTAAGAATATTTTTGCCATTATCCCTGCTTCAGATAAAATTGAGAAATCTGGATTTCCAGACAATAAATTTGCCTCTCCTTAGATTAGGAGGCCTTGAATCACTGCCCATAATATAAGCTTGCATTGTAAAAGATTGACTGTTGGTGATCTTAGGCGAAAACTGCTCAGGCAGAGAAAGATTTCAGTGTTGTTAGATTTAAGATTTCAAAGAAGATAATCTCGGGCATGGCTTTGACTTCCTAATTTCAGACTAAGAACTCGGGTCAGTTAAAGATTTTGAAGAAAAGAATCTTGGACTGGCCTTCAAATTCCTAACCGCGGGCCTGATTCCGAACATGGATGTCGGGGCTGATTTCGGACGGTCTTCGAAGTTCAGATCTCGTAACACGATTTCGGGTAGTCTTCGAAGGTCAGATCTCGGGTCCTGCAAAAAAAAGTCTCGTGCTATCGAAAACAAAATTTTGGGTGATAATCTAAATATTTCGGCCTAGCGAGTTTTCGTATCTCATGCAATTAGGTCAGATTTCAGTGATCTTCTTTCTTTTCCAGCAGCAGCCTTTCCAAAAATAGTATCTTTCCAAGAACAAATCCAAAATGAGTTCAACCAAAACTTGTGATTTTGATCAAATTAATTCCAGAAAAATTCCTTGATTCGAACAAACAGAATTAAGTCGTGGCTCTGATACCAATTGGAATGAGCCTAGATCAATAGTGGATTAACTAATAAACAATAATATGGAGAATTTGTGTAGAAGAAGAATAATCCATCAACATTCAATACTGTATATTCATAATGATATAGCAATAATGCTTAATACACGTATGAACTGTTTAGGGAGAATTTAGAGGTGCTCTACGAGAATAATAGGTGCGGAATAAATTGTGTAGAGGCTTAGGTTGTTCGAACCCCTCTACCTTTATTTATAGGGGGATTCGAACATCCTACACTCCCGCGCATGGGCTTAATGAATAAAAGTCTCCTTCTCTCAAAATTAAAAGCATGTTAATGCTAAGAATAATTAATCAAAGATAATTACAAAAAATTTGAACACAATAAATAATGTTCAAACATTTCTTCATAAGACCATCATCTTCATAAGATCATCAAGTGCATCGCCACAATATAGCAAATCATTAAGCATAACGTTGCAAAGTAAATTATCATATATGACGTCTTTTGATAGTTCCCATTCAATTAGATTCTTAAGAAAGTAATTCCTATGAATGAAAGTTTACTGAGAAAATGACTCCTTTCACACCATGTTAAAGAAGAATTGAGCTATGCTCAATAAAAGCTTTAAAGAATGGTATGCTATGGATTTGATAAAGATACCCTTTAAGTGAAGAAGGCATGCCAGCTACCCTTTCTCATTCTCTTGAAGGATGATTATGGCATTCCCTCATCTTTCCTCAAACTTCTCTAACCTCATCCTTACATGGTTAAAACATATTTTCACTTTTTTCAGAATGTACTTGTAAAAACTTTCTTAGGTTAAAATGATTTCCAAATCTAGGAATCACTTTCTCACCTTTTAAATTTTGCTTTGTCGACAACAAATACCAGTATAAGTTGATGACTCCTTGGCAAAGAAAATGACAAAAGTAGATCCTTGCTAAGTTGGTAGAACAAAAAATACTAACACACAAAAAACCTTAGCCTTACACTATATCTCTAAATGTAAAAAAAAACATAGTTAAACAAGCAATAATATAGATAGACAAGCAATAATATAGCATAATCATGTCAAGTTCTTAATCATTAAATAACAAAGTTAAATAAGCAATAATATAGCATTATCTCCACCTTTTGACTTTCTCCTATCATCTAAAAAATAATTAACAAAATAAAAATCATTCCTACCTTTCAAGTTCATTCTAAATATAGCTAAATATAATGTAAAAGTAAAACATGTTGTTGATTAGTACTTTATTAATCGAAGTTTTGAATCAGGAGAATGATTGACCTCAATCATTCATTGAGCATATTAACATGTATACATTCATGTATAATAAAGTTTAAAGATTAGAATTTCAATAATAAATACAACAAATTCATTATAATCAAATAGAATAGTCAATAAAAAATCACCATTTAAATAGATTCTAAAACTCATAAAACACTAAGGTGCATTAACAAAAAAGGAGAGAAAAAACTTTAAAAAAGACTTCATATTTGAGTAAAAAGTTCATTGAGAAGAATAATCAATAATCATGGAGAGAAGAGACACCACAATTAAATAGGAGAATGAGTGAAAATAATATAGAAATCAAAGAAAAATGAGATGAAGTGGAGAGTTTGGTGTCCTGGAAGGGAGGTTGGGGAAGAGAGACAATGGAAGTGGTAAAGTGAAGAAAGGTAAAAATAAAGTAGCCTTTATATAAGAGTCTACACTTTGGTACACTTTATGTACACTAAGCATTTTTGTATGTTTTATGGGATAAAAATATGACTAAAAGAGTTAATCTGACAAAACTACCCTTAATGATCTTTAGTAGTATGTTCGCATCGTTGATTCATCAATCAAACCATTGCACTCATCCTCTTGCACTGGCGCAACACCTATACATCCTTCAACAAACCATTTCACTCGTTGCCCTTCGCTCAAACTGCCACCCTTCGATCAAACCACCACCATCACCCACCTACGAGCCAACATAGTCATTCTCCAACTAATTCATTTACTCTATTCGCCGTTTATTCTTGAATACCCATTTGGTTCCAATGACATTCTGATGCTTTGGTCTAGGAACAAGTTCCCACACTTTGTTCCTCTCAAATTGTGTAAGCTCTTCTTGCATTGCATTGATCCAATCTGAGTCTGCAAGGGCTTATTCTACAGTCATAGGTTCCATTTGAGAGATGTAGCACAAACACACTGCTTCTCTTTTTATTGTAGCAGATCTGGTCTGTACTCCACTTCTGATTTGTCCAATCACTTGGTTTGGAGGATGATCTCTTAACCATGTCAGATCAGGTTCTGTCAATTGTTGTTTGGGTTTATTTGGTTTCTCATCTTCTGAATCTTCATCTTCATTTAATAGAAGGGGGTTTTGTGCGGGTGTTGGAAACAATGGATTCACTGGTACCTCTTTTGTTGATTCAGAAGTTCTGTCAGCTAGAGTGGCTTCCTTGAGGATCTCTGTTACTTCTTCAACAGAGGTGCTATCATCAAACTTTACATGTATAGATTTTTCAACATGTAGAGTTCTTCTGTTGAGTACTCTATAGGCTTTGCTTGTGCTTGAGTAGCCTATGAATACACCTTCATCAATTTTTTCTTGAAATACCTTTAGATGTTCCCTTCCATTATTCAGAATGTAGCATTTGCATCCAAATATATGAAAATAACTTATGTTGGGTTTCTTTCCTTTCCATAGTTCATAAGGGGTCTTCTGGTGATTCTTGTTGATCATGCTTCAGTTATGGGTGTAGCATGCAGTGTTGATTGCTTCAGCCCAGTATCTCATTGGTAATCTTGATTCTGCAATCATTGTCCTTCCAGTTTCTTTCAACGTTCTGTTCCTCCTTTATGCTACGCCATTCTGTTGAGGTGTTCTGGCGGCAGAGAGTTGATGAAAGGTTCCGTTTTGATCACAGAAGTCCTTAATGACTTGGTTGACAAATTGAGTTCCTCTGTCAGATCTGATTGTCCTGACTTTCATATTCTTCTCATTCTGAAGTTGCTTTAAAAGAGAGGGTAACTTCTGAAGAGTTTCATTTTTCTTTGTCAAAAATATTGTCCAAGTATATCTGGAGTCACTACTACATTTTCGAGTCTAATGTAACGAAAAAATTGTAACATTTGTTTAAAGTGTTACAAAAAAGTGATTTACTGTAATGGTTTTAAGTGTGTCGTTACATTTGTTTAGTTATAGTTACATTTTATCTAATACTAATGTAACACATCTATAACTTCAGAAATATTGTTAGATTAGTTTAGTAAGTGTTACATTTTAATGAAATACGAGTATAATGTAACACTTTCATATATCCAAATAAATTGAAAGTAAAAATAGCGGCAAACCAATCTTTCCAAAATGTCCGTTTCCTCCATTTTTTAGTAATCCCCAAAACCAAAATCAAATCCTTATCATTAGAAATAAAAATAAAAACCCTACCAAAGCAAAAGCCAAAAGCCTTAGAAGTGTCTGCCCCTTATACTCTTCGCCGCGACTCTTAGCCAGCTCACGATTCAGCTTCTTCTTCCACCTTTTCATTATCAAACCAGGTGACATATGAATCACATCTTCTAGGTCTCCATATTCTTATGCTTTATTTGCGGATTTACTTCTCAAAATACGTCCACCATATTTGTAGTTTGAATTATGGGTTATCCCTAGATTTAATTTTTTGATTTCATTCCTTAATTTCGTGGTGCTTTCTTAGGTTTCTGTAATGTTTGGGGTTGTCTCTTACTGATTTTTTTCTCTTTATTCATTTGTGGTTTGGTTGGTTAAAGTTGATTTCAAAAATTCAAAGGTTTTATATAAACATCGTTCTTTGTTTATCATCATCAATCCAGTCTTGATTTTGCTCTCCGCGTTTTAGGAGATTGCTTTATACATCTCCTATGGGTAAATCAAGTTTCAAAAAGGCTAAGAATAACCATATGTTAGTTCTGCACAAGAGGTGTTTGAAGAAATGTCTAAACTAGAAAGTTGGGTATTTTCCTTCTTTCTCTTTTAATGATTTGGATGAAGATGCTATTGCATTCCTTGCAACACTTTTGTATGAAAGAACAATAATTTTCAGAATTGGATTGCATTAAAGAAAAGATAAACATTACATACTTAAAATATTTGCAGCATTACATTGAGGTTTTGTGTTTTAAGTGTTTGGCTAGTTTACATTGAGTATTTCTTTTTAATGAATATTGATAATAATAATTCTGTAATAACTCGATCTAGGTTCAATTTCAGAGGAATCAGGTATGTCAATCTTGACATCTTGCTACTTTGGTTGATTATTTCTTTAAGTTATGATAAATCTTAAATTGTTTTGATTATATGTTTCTGTCAACGGTTCCTATTATTTTGATATATAATACAGAAGATCGAAATGTTCACCATTTTAAATTATATCCCTACTTTTTAATACTTACAATTCCTTAAAAAGTCAATATGAACAGGAAAGCCAACTGTGATGTTTAGTTACATAATATTTCTCGCTTTTTATGTGTCGCAAATATTCCGTAAGTTGTTGATGTTTATCAAAAGTGGGTCGAAGTGTAACTACCTAAAAAGGCATCCTAAATGCTCCATTGAAGTGAACTTGTTGGAAGAATGGTGGGATTGCTACCAGCTTCTAATTAATGAAGTAAACTTGTTTTCTTTCTGAAGCATCTCCACAATTAGAATTGCTGCCACAAAAAAAATTAAATAAACTTTTGGAGAGATGTGCATAAAATCTATGTTGCTTTGATTTTGATTGTACAATCAATGAACTAAATGTATATTTATCTCTCTGTTAAGAAATTTTAAGTAAACTATTTTCTTTCGATTATTGAATCAATGATGCACCTCTTTAATGGAAATTGCTGAAGGGATAAATTGGTAACACATTAGAAGTTAGCTGAAATATGTTCCAGACTTCAGTAGCGCTTTGACCTTAGCTCATTCTCATCAATGGTCAATGGTTGTAGCATCAGGTTTGGAGATGCTCTTTGCGAAGGGGTGCGTTAAGCTATGACTAAAGCCTGAATCAAAAGACTCCCAAGAGGTTTTCTCTGCCCACCCGCTTTGTTTTTCATTCTTTGTAGCTTCCATGAGTTTTATTTTATTTTCTCTCTTCTATCATCATCATATTTACTCTACTTAGTGTCATAATTTAAATAATCTGTTTTCTTATATTGTTTCTTTGCCAGGTGTATATATGTCGGCTCTTGTATATATTAACTAAAAAAGTATGTTTACTTTGTTCAAAAAATCCGAGTATGTTGTACTGTAAATTTTACCTCAAATTAAAGCATACTCCCTCCGTCCCTTACAACTTTGCCAACTTTCATTTTTTGGATGTCCCACTAACTTTTCCACTTTCCCTTTTAAGTAATGAATTTGTTGTTCTAGTTAATTCTCTCTCCTCTGCACAAACCTCAACCACATGATTTTTACTTTATTAATCCCCGTGCCGGTCAAACTCGGCAAAGGTTTAAGGGATGGAAGGAGTATTTGTATACTCTGTTTTTAGGCATTCAAATAAACTTCTTGATTCTACAACTAGGATAAATATAAAAATTGATTTTACAGAGTATTAATCTGTTTATTCATCTTCTTTGGTTGTTTTTGTTGGGGTTTTCCCAATTTTTCGTGTCCATGGCACTGTGTGAATTTGTTTTGATACTAAATATGTTTTTCCTTTGCTTTATTTGATGCTTTTAATGGGGGTTTCAAGAGTTTTGTGTGTCCTAAACAAACCAATCATCCGGACATGAGGTAGATGAGTCAAATGACAATCTTCTGTTGAACACACTCGACATTCAAGGTAATATAACTTCTCTGAAATCATTTGATTGTTCTGGAAATGGTTTTGAGCTCACTTGAGTTGCTGAAAGTGTTTTGGAAAGTGCTCTGAAATCATTTGTGTGCCCTTCAAAATATGGGAAAACAATTTCTTTCATGCATATTTAGTCATTACAAAGAAAATACCAAGTAAAATATTGTTTAAGCTGACAGACTTCCCAGCATGAGAGTATCTGAGTATAGTACTTATAATTTAATAAGAAAAAAAGGAATCTAACATGATAAGGTTGTAGTTCTGGTAACCATTCTCCTACATCTGTTGGTGATAGCAATTCACATGATAAGGTTGGGAATTCCTTGCATAGAGTTCATCTTTATTTGTTTTAATGATGGAAAGACTAAGGCATGTACTTTCTAATTTAAACATTGCTTCTGAAAAAGTATTTTACCTCTTGAGTATCAACTATAGTGATTTACACAAGAATTGGAGTTCAGGAGACTACTTATTTTGTTTCCCAGCAAATTCTGTATAAATCAAAGTAAGGGCAGTAGTTTTTTAGCATACATTTAGCATTACACTCTATAACTTAGATGTGAATATGAGTTCTCATACTTAGTTGCTCAAATATAAATAGTTGAGTATTGATTTCTTTTTCAAAACAATATTTAGATGAGTCTTATTCTAAAAAATGAACTGATTATATACAAATATATAACATGGGTGCTTAATTATTTGAAATGTTGGTTTATAGGTGAGGGATTCACATGAAGATGAAGATGGAATGAAATCAAATGATGAATGATGCATACCCATGATTTGTCACCTGAGCTTCTCATAGTAGTAGTGATAGTCAATCTTTTTGATGGATAGTCTACCCGGGGGTGTATATCCGAAGGGTTATTGCTGAGAATAACTTAGAGAGAAGTCAGAGCACGAGTAAATAAGAGAGAGAGTGTATTCAGTATCAATGTCGTGGTTACAAATGGGGAAATGGGGTGCTATTTATAGTAGCAATAAATGCCGGGCAGGGACACGTGTCAAGCGCCTATTGGCCGAGGGATCACCTCAACTGGTTGGCGTTGGCAGCCGCATGTGGCCGCATTTAATGCGGCTGTTGGATGGGACGTATGTGCAGGGTACGGTGATCTGCACGCATGTGAGGCGGATATCATGTCGGGAGTGGTGCCCTTGGCTGCAGAGGACTAGCCGAGGGCTCTTAGTGCTGAGGGGCCCTTAGTGCCGAGGGCTCACAGTGCCGAGGGCTACTGTTTTCGCCGTTTTCTCCCAGTTCCTCTGTTTGTTCGAAACATCCATGCTGTGATAGTTTGGAGCCTTCGGCCAGGGGGCGAAGGCACCCCTGGTGCGTATTGTGGGCTGCTTGGTACTCTGGGCGCCGTGATTTGGGCCTGTTGGGCCTCCTGGGCCTGTTGGGCCTTCATTGGTGTAGTAGGAGTCTGTGGGCCGGGTATTCCCGGGCCATATACTCCATCAGGAGTCCCTCACTCCTTTTGCCGAAAGGTATTTGAGGGAAAAGGAGTAATTTGTGCTTGCCCTTTGATGTTGTCCTGTCGTGATCTCTGAAGTTGGTGAGGAGTTGTTGCTTTTATGTCCCTGCCGAAGGCAGTCCCTCAGTTACCCACATGTCGGGACTTGAGGGCTTGCTTTGTCGTTTGTTGGAATTTCACTAATTTTGTAATTTAATGATTTTCCCGAGGGGGTCCTCCAGTCCCCCACTCCTTGAGGCACTTGTAAAGTGGTGAAAAGGAGTAGAGTAGTTGTGTTGCTGTTGTGGGCCGAAGACTGACGCTTTTCGTTTCATTTGGGGGGATGCCTCGTTAAAAACCTCATTAGGAAAAACCCTGGGGAAAAAAATCCTAATGAGGGAAAAAGAGTGCACCGAATTCCCCCAATGATGAATCGAAAATGTGAAACCTTGGTCAAAAATGGAGAATAACGGTAATGCCGAAGGCTCTTCCTTTTCTGAGGGCTCATGTGTTGATTAGCCGAAGGCTTGCTGTTGATGTCCTGGGGGCGCCGAAGGGGAGCCCCCCAATCCGGGGATCGAGGGCCTGCCGGATGAGGGCAGCAGTGGAGTTGTTACCGGGGGGTCCACTGTTTGTTGATTAGTTGGTGATGAAGATACCCGAGGGCTCCCATTACCTGTGTGCCATGGGTTATCCGTCAATGAGGCAACTTCCCGGGGGCCACCCGGTTTTGCAATGCTGAGGGGGAATCCCCGAGGGGTGCCCTGATATGAAGCCTTGGGTTCTGAAGGAGTGATCCCGAAGGCATCTGCTATGTGTTGTGTGGGGCACAAACCGGGGGCGTCTCTGGGGTAAATGTACCCGGAGGCTCTCCTTGATGTAGCGGAGTGGAGTAGAAAACCCGGGGGCTTCCAGAATATAGTCGTTGGAAATATAGTCGTTGGAATATGTAACGTCAGGATATAGCCGTTGGGGGGGACACGTGGCGCGTGATGGCTGGCTGTCCGTGGGCGGCATCACTGGTTGGGCGAAGACGCGGTGTGTAATGATGGCGGTCCATCCGGAGGCCCGGAATCCAGGCCCAAGCCCGGATTCCATCGCCTATAAATACCCCAAGGCCAGAGCCCTTTCTTCTTGTGCGATCATCTGTCTTAGCGAAGCTCTGCCAAAAATTCTAGAGAGAGAAACTCAAGCCTTCGGTAAACACTCAGCTTTCAAGGTCAGTTCCCCCCTGCCTTTCTCCTTCTATTTTAGCTGTGCCTTGTGCCCCTAGGTTAAGAGATAGAACTTTTTAGGAAACCCTAGTTTTCCCGAGCCTTCGAATTAGTGAGCAGATGTCATCACAGAGCGACTCCCAGGATATCTCGGGGGAGCCTTCGGTAGAGATGGAGACATGCTCAGATGTGGAGTCGTCGAGCGTGGAGTCTTCGGCGGGTTGTGATGCTGCAGTGGCCATGGAAGTGGAGAAGGACCTCCAGGACGAAGTCGAAGCCGAGGGCTTCGAACAAGAAAACGAGGACGAGGAGCTTGCCCTCGCCGTGCAGACCGCCGAGCAAGAAGAGGAGAGGGAGAGGCTGAAGGTGACGGTTGCCATTCCTCCCCCCGGGGTGCCGGGGAAGCCAGCTCCTCCCGGCCGTTGGACCCGACGCCCATAAGCGTGGCTCCCGGGAAGAAAAATAAGATGAAGGCGGCCCCGAGGAAGAAGCAAGCGGCAGTGGATGCCGGGCGGCCGGTGGGCATACCCGAGGGCCATTCGTTCTTGAATACTGCCGCTCTAGAGCTGAAGACGAAGGCGTCCCCGGCAGAATACCAGTCCACCCAGATGCTGGTTGGCCCTTCGGCGCGCGTGGTGGAGCCCAGGGCGGATGATTTGCTGCGATATGCGCCCGAGGGGTGTTTTGCTGCTCACACCCTCTCGGTGGAGATGGGGCTTCGGTTCCCGCTCCATCCTTTTCTCTTGGAGTATCTGAGGTTTGTGGGGTTGGCCCCCTGCCAGCTAACGCCCAACAGCCACTCCTATGTGGCCGGCTTCCTCTCCTTGTGTCAGAGCCGGGGGGGGTCGAGCCCACACTTGATCAATTCTTCATGTCCTTCAACCTCTGCCGGGGGGGGGGGGGGGGACATTCAAACGCTGAGGGCTTTGCCAACCTTCAGCAGGTACCGGAGTTCCGGCTTTTTGATGATGTGCCCTCGTCCCACAAGGGGTGGAAGGAGAGGTTCTGCTACATTCGCCTCGAAGAGAACCCCTTCCCGGCCCAACTCCGCAATAGCTTCCGGCGCCATCCGAAGGTGGGGAGCGCAGCTCTCGAGAAGAATGGCAAAGTGCTTGCCAGGAAGCCGGAGGGGTCTGACAAGCACGTCAAGATCAGAGACGTCACCCTTCCAGAGGAACTGCTCAGCTTGGGCTTCCGGCAGTTCAGGCCGAGGGGCTCTTCGGATGAAAGATACCCTCCCCTCGATCGAGTCTTCGAAGGAGCTGGAGGTGATCACCGAATGGTTCACTGATGCGTTGATAGTTCTCTCTTATTCCCCATTTTTTTATGACGTAGTGACTGGTAGCCTTCGATCTAACCCCCTTGTGTGTTTTTTTTGTTGCTTGCAGGTAACAATATGGACGTCGGTTCCCTCTTCGCTCTGAAGAATGCGAAAGGGAAGAAGAAGGCCCCGGGGGGCGCTTCTGCCAGGGAGGGGACCTCTCAAACTGCTGTCGCCACCGCTGGCGCCGGAGGGTCCAAGGGTGCCGGGCCCGTAAAAAAGAAGAACGCCGGGAAGGGGACCGAGCCCCCGGCCAAGAAGCCGAAGACTACCGCCCCTACCAAACAGCCGATCACCGATGTGGTGGTGATCGTTGACGAAGGGCACGCCTCTGCCTCCACCCCCCAGGAACAAATCAATCAGGAGTTCTTCGGGCGGGAGAGGTTGGAGGCGTTAGTACCGAAGGGAGCCTCCGTGTTGGAGGGCAGTCTGAACCCTTCGGCTCTGATGAGCCAAATGCTGCCGTCGGCCGACCGAATAGCCCTTGCCCGGTTGGACGAGGGATCCCTCGAGGCGAAGGTCCTCCTGAATGCTGCCTCCGTAAGTCACCCCCTTTCTTTGTTCATTGTTGTGCTTTCCTTCTGTACTATGTTTGTTGTGCCTTATTCTTGCCTTCGTGAATTGCAGAGCTTTATGGGCCTCTGCGAGCACCTCCGGAGGGTGGATCAAATGAGGGAGGCCAAGGGGGTAGCCGAGGGGGAGACCGCCCTCCTCAGGAAGAAGCTTGCTGAAGCCGAGGACTCTCTTCGTCTGGCCACCGACGGCATAGAGCAGAGGGTGCAGGCTGCCAGGGCCGAAGGGGTAAATGAGGGACTGGCCAGAGCCGGGGAGGCCGCCGCCGAGGCCGCCGCCGAGGCCGCCCGCATTGCTGCTGATGAAGCCCGCGCGGCTCAAGAAGAGGCCGTCTCCAAGGCCCGAGAGGATGCGGTGACCAGCTTCACAGCCGAGGGGTGGAAGGTCGAAGACCGGAGGGAGTGGGTCGCTTCGGTGGTGGGGGCTTCAGTAGACGAGTGGGTTGGAGGCCCTGGAAAGATGTGGCTTGCTGAGAGGGGCGACTCGTACTACCAAGGCGGGGAGTTCTTCACCCAACGCCTCATCTACCGGAAGCTTGCGAAGCACTTTCAGGTGGCACCGGAGGAGTTCCGTCCCGAGGCTTATGGCCTCCCCCCCCGCCAGCCAGATGTCAGGATCCCGCTCCCCGAGGGGGAAGAGAGACCAGTTCTTGAAGACTCGGAGACCCTCCGGGAGTGCGGCCTTGGGGGCGAAGAGGATGAAGCCGAGAGCGAGGCTATATCTACAGTCCCCCCTTCTTGAATTGTATTCCCCCCTTTTGTGTTGTAATTGGTTGCCTCGGCCCCCTTTGTAAAGCACAATCAAACTTCCTTTTTTTTTGAATGAATGAGTACATATGCCCTCGGGCCTTTGATATACAATATGCTTCCTTTTGATTTGTTCATTGTCAAATACATGCCTTCGTCTTGCTTTGGATGTATGCCTTGCTCCTT